GGGGAAGAAGTGAATAGTTTTCATTAGTATTTGTATTAGGATTTATTATTAACCTTTCCTTAAACTACTTCAAAGTAAAAAATACTAAACTGCTTGGATCCCCTCTCTGCCTCTTTCATCCTGCAGAAAACAGCCACCCCCCCATCTCTTGCTAGCGCTACCAAAGAAATAGAAAAGGCCACCAGTTACAACGAGTTTTAAGATTGGAATACAGATCCATAATTTCTTTACCTTAGAAAGCAGAGAGAACCAAGACACAAATTGAGATGCTAAAATTAAGGCAAAAAAACAGCCTTAAAAACATTTCCAGGAGAGAGAACATAATGGGGGAGAAATTGGCTTACTCTATTTTTCTAAGGGTTTAATGTCAGTCCAAAACCAAGCACCTGAAATGCTTTCCTCAGTTTTATAGTTAGTATACACTGCACTGTGCAGCAGTACCTTGTTTCAGTAGTTCAGCCAGTAACTTCCAAAAACTGTATTTAGACTTTAAATGTAAGCTTAATGCTGAATATCTAGGGATTGATGTTTAGTATCCCCATCAATCACCAGTACAAACGATCAGCTTTAGACCTGTAGTAAGAGGAAGCTCTGTGTATGATTTGATAATTCTAATGTTTTGAGGAGATTAAAATCCATTGAAGGGTGGGACAGAGTGAAGATTCGTTTTTGTCTTTAAAAGCAGACTCACCAATGCAACAAGGCAGCCTGCCTACACTGCTGAACTTGACCTTTGCCTCAGCTGCAATGTTCTGTTTCTTCAGAAAGACATGAAGCTTCAGGAGACTGACAGGACAGAAAGGGGGAATTGGCAGAGCCATTTCAGCACCTAATTCATGTTCCCATCTCAAGTCTCTCAGTGGCAGGGGTCCTACTGGAGCAGTGCTGAAGCAGCTCTGCTTTAGGGAATCTTTTGAGAGCCAGCACTAAAGACACAGTACCTTCAAAGGCCAGTGACATTCAGCCAGTTACAGGGAAAACTCCTGACATGCGCCCATGCTTCACCCCATGCCGGTCATTCCAGCTCCTGGCACAGTTGTGTGGAATTAGCTGCATCAATAGAAAGCAATTGGTGAAATACCTGATGGCAGTGGCCCAACTCTCGCTTACCTGCACCTGTCTGGAACCCAACAATTCGATCCATCGTTAGCAGCTTGGCTTAATTATAACTTAGAACTTCTTCAAGCATAGACTTTGCACAAGATTTTAAGTGACTATAATTAATTATACAGAAAGCCTGAAGTGTCTTCTGGTCCATTGTTAAAAATGTCCTTTCCCCACACTGACACCAGAACTTGGTTTTGTAAAGGAACTGGGCTGTAGACTAGGAGAGGGGTCTCTCTCATAGCCTGATATACACAGAGAGAAAGAGCTTTCCTGGCTTAAATGAACTAAAACAAGGCTTCAAATTTGCTTAATCTCAATTAAGAGATGCAGAAAGGAATATTATTCTAACCTATACTTGTTTAGTCCCATTCTTTATATTAATTACTTCTTTCCTCTCTCCTATTTAAGGCTTTTTGCACTCTCCCCAAATTACTCTTGGCTGTTATCAGAGATGGTATTGGATAGCTGTACTCCATCCTGAACTGACTACTTGAATTTTAACCAGTAAAAAGCAGACCACAGAATTAGTGCCAGAAACACTGCAACTTCTTAAAAGACACAGGGGAAGAAGGAAGGTGTTATCATGCAAACAGACTTTTCACACTCAGCTTTTCAGTGCCTACCTGGAAAATGAAAATGTTGTGGGAATGACAGTATGCAGAGGGTTCTTTTGGTCAATCTGTGGACACGGGAATATCACAAATTTTCCCTGTTGTATTTTGGTTTGCTTTGGCCAAAGGAAAGAGGGAGCCCTCTAGGGGTAGAAACACAAAGCCCTGGAGAAATGTTCACACGCCTTTTCCATACCAAGACCCTCCTGCCTTACCTTGAGGTAGGAGCAGGTTCCTGCCGTGTGCAAGGGCTCAGAAGATGAAGGTCTAGGCAGAAAAGTCAGGCTGGGTAGAAGGAGGTCCCGTGTGCTTTCCTGGAAGTGCTTACTCTACAGCCTAGAACATGATGTGGGAAGTAAGTCTCTTTTCTATCATTTGTGCAGTGGTTTACAGGGAAAATAGCACATCACCAAAGTGCAGACTGAAATACTGCAGCTGGCCTGACCCACCACAACATAGCTAGCATTTTTTCTTTTAGGCTATGCAAAAGACTTGGGTTTGCCTTACTCTATGCCTCAAGCATAGGATGAACTCCTGTACAAAATGAGCAGGTTTACGTTTGTCAAGGCATGTTCAAAATATTTCTTTCCAAGAGCTATTTCTATTTGAAGGCTAGATAACAGCTGCACCATTAATACATTTAAATATTTTCTGATTCTAATGAGAACTTCATATTCTTTCCAAACAGCTCAACACAACAACACGAGGATGTGGCAAACCCAAACTTCAAAACATTCTAATTCAAAAACAAACACAAAAAAACCCCACCACCCTGCAAGTATCAAAACCCATCTAACAAGATATTAAGGATTAGCTGTAGTGCCACAGGTAACAGATTTTGTTAGATATCCAAAATTGAAAAGAACAGCTTAACACTTTGAAGAAAACAAATCTTTTTTTATATATATATATATATAAGGGATGTTGACTGCAAGACATCTGCAGTTAGAGATGCAAAACTGTGTTATCAGTTTGGTGAAACGGGTAAACACCCATTACAGTCTCTACACATAATTTACAATAAACTTCCTGTATGACATATTCAAGGTTATGCTTGCTTTCTTAAAAAAGAAATAAATAAAACAGAGGCAGTAACATGAAAGCCTGTAATCTACATTAGTGCTACTTGAATAGCAAACTTGATCTAGATGAAGAAAATGTTTTGTCTGGCCCTTGCCAAAAAACAGAGACACGAAGTCTGCATTACTAAAGGGGAGCCCATATTTCTTAAAGTTCTTCTTAGTCTCTGAAGAAGCCCTTCTGCTCACTCCATTTCCCAGGTATAGAGGACAGCCATTTCCAGACTGATCTGGTAGAGCATGAAGAATTACTTTCCACAGTAAAGTTTTCTAGAGAACCTGGATGAACCCAGCAAATACAAGTGAATGTACACTGAGCAGCTCTACAAGAATTTAAAAAGCCTCCATTTGTGTTGCAACAGTCACTAATTCAGGCTGAAACAGACACAACTGCTTCATCACCACTGTTAGCTCATTACTTTCTACACTGAAGGAAATGAGTGGTTCAGATTTTACAGCATATTGCAAAGACACATACATCAAATGGGGGTGGTTAAACAGGACTTGAAGATTTGTCATTGCTTGCTCAAACAATTTAGGTGGATAACGCTTCTGTGTCATGAACCCCATTCATGGCATCTAGTTTAGCTAAATGTAGCTTTAAATCAAAGTTTTACATTCATTTCCATGGGCTTATTGATTGCTTCTTGCTCAAACCCACCAGCAACAGAGACTGCAGATGACTGATACCACAGTGCAGAAGGTTGGCTGTGAGCCCCATGTTGAACACATGGTCTACTGGAGATCTGCTAGATGAAAAAGAAAACATTCATGAATAAGATAGCATAGCCAACGAGAATCAGCAACGCCAAGATTTCACCTCCTACTAGTCAAAAGAAGACAGTAAAGCCAATGCTGGGCACCAGCAAGGAGAAGCAATAGTGATGCCCAGTCCTTTCCTTGACTGCAGCTGGAATGGGCTGTGAGCTATAGGAAGACAGCACCCTTTGACAGGAAGTACCAAAGATGCCTACATGACACTGGAGTGATTTTGTTCAGCTCTGTGTCGTTGTCAGTGAAGAGCAGCTGTAGTGCCTTTGGATTGTGGAGTTACCTGGATGATGAATTCCCACAGTTGCTTTACATAATCATGAAAGAACAGCAGCACTTAGCTGTTGCTTATGCTCCCTGGTGAGCTAAGTTAATCACAGGCTAGGAAACTGCTGCTAAGCCTCGTCAAATAAATCCCAACCTACACTCTTCTGAGAATTTGCTACTTCTCTATAGATTATTACAAGTGAATTTTCACCTCTGGAATTCTTAAAGTTAAACACCTCCCAAACAAATCAACCAACAAAACGTTTAGAACTGTGAAATGGAAGATATTTTCAAGAGATTTGAGGTTTGATTTGAACTAGGTTCAAGTATTCCCACGGCATCTCAAGCAGAACCTACCTGATGATTACGGTTTTCCTTATTTCTGCATTTCAAGAAATATCTTCTCTGCCTCCCTCTGATGCATTATCCTTGGCTCTTACTAGATTTTTATTTTTCTTCACTAGGATAAATACAACAGCATTTAGACAAACTGCCTAAAAGACAGCATCTCTCAGATCCCTCGAGACTGTTAAAGCTTGCTTTTTGTTGTGTGCCTCAACTCTGTCCTGCTCTCCTGACATATTCTTTCCTGAGCATATGAACACCAGCACTTCAGAAACAATCACACAGATTGGTTTAGCTCCCAAGCCATATTTTGAAAGTTACCATCCATCTGAAAACTTCCTCTATGTAGCAAATTAACCCTAATGTACTCCAAGAATTCACCATCCATCCTTCCACTTCAGCAGTTAAAGACCACTTCTCTCACAAGTATGCAATTAAACAACTGGTCACAAATCTCTGCTGCAACAGGGACCTTCAGATCCTTATCCCATATTACTGTACACGAAACTTAACCTGCATTATTGCTGCTGTTAGCTGGTAAAAACAGTGAAAGAAAACTTAGATCAAATCAATGACTTAAGAGGTACACAGGCCATTTCTGCAATGGTTTTAGTGACATTATCATTTCAAGTAAGCATGCTCTCTGATTCCAAGGACTGCTTCCTTCTACTGCTTCCACTGGTCTCTTTTCCCAGGAAGGCGCTATGGAAGAAAGTAAGATTTGGTGATAGGGTAACCATTCAAAATGTGCAATATTGCAGATCCAGCTATTTGAAGTATTAGAATTAAAAATACATTTAAGAAAAGAAACAAACAATGCTTCGAGTCACTATACTTTATTAATACTTCAGAAACACCAGGTCCTACAGTGGCGAGTTTTTCTCCCCACCTGTTCCAATCACTGCTTTGAAACAACTTCTTGCAATATGCAAATAGATACATGAGGCACTGTGTGAATATAAAAGTGACAATACAAAAAACCCCAACAATTAAACCTCATGCAATACATACATATATATAAAAAATATGGTAATGTAGCATAATACACACAAGCACTGTTAGAACAATCCATGTAAATGAATGTACAATATGCATAGCATTTAATGATCGATGACAACAGGTTTCTGACCTGTGCACAAAACCAGACAGCTTAAGTAAGAGTTTTAAGATACTAGGTAACTGGTTAAGCCACAGTTTATAAAACCTGCTGTACTGCAGCTTTTCTGCTCAGGGTCACAAGTGCAGATTAGCATACAAAATAAATAAGGACTACAATTCTACAACACTTGGCTAACAGCTTCTATTTCAAAGTCACTGGCCCTCTTACTTTCATTCAAGGTTCATTAGCCAACATAGTGGCAAGAAATGTGCCTAAAGCAACAGTTCTGTTCTTGTACTATTTTAATACTGATAAGAACACAATTTTTTAAGTCAGCAGAAGTAGTTACAGAAGTCTAACTTACCACTAAATAAGCACAAGATTGAAGTTGTCGTACAGAGCAGACACTGAAGAATTACACTGACTGAGAGGTTGATTAGCCACAAGGTATGCTGCAGTTACCATCCTGCCTGTTCCGCCAACTAGGGCAAGAAAGAGAGAACTGGAGAGGTGAAGAAAGTCAGAAGGCTTTTTTTCCCTACTCTAATCAGTGCAAATGTTTGAAAACACAATCTGCAGAACAAGGAAATACAAAGAAGAATATTCCTGAAGTCCTGTGTTCAGGATGAGAGCTACTATTACCTGAAATAAGCTTAAGTATTCCCATGGAATAACATGCAAATAACAGCATTTTCTTCTTACACATCCAATAGTGGTCAATGCCAAAGACGTAACAGTTGTTGTAGTCTCTTATTGTCCTAGCTGACATGGTACTTCCTACACTCAGTGTTGCAGCCTCCAAAGATCAGACCACATTCACTATGAACACAGATAAAATGAAAATTATGAAGTGGCAACTAAACTGACTTAACAGCCAACGGAGTTTACAGTCTAAGAAGCAGCATTTTGGGGAGGGGGACTGGCAGTGTAAAAGGATATAAAGGATAGAAGAAAACTGGGAAGAGAATAAGGAGGAGATAGAGCAGGACTGACTTGTAGAAGAGGAAGTTAAAAGTAATCAAAGTAGTTAAAAGTACTTCAAGCTAAAACTATACTGGCCTTTTTTTTGTTTGTTTTTTCCAGTATAAGGTTTTAACCCCCCAAACAAACACCTTATTATTAAACACACTGAAAGGAAAAAAATAAAATAAAAGAAAGCAGCATTAATCATCCAGTATTAAGCAGAATGCCATTTAACCAAGTTAGAAAGGGCAACACAAAAAGAGGAAGTCATAGTATTTAATTGCCTTGAGAAGGTGCCCATATTCTCTCTAGTACTCTAACCATTATCTCCTTATCCTTAAGACATCCAAAAAGGAACCATCACCCCCTAGGTAAAAGGATAAATACCTTGTGCAGTAAGGGATGGTCACACCTTCCTGCTCCGTTTGCCAAAGAGACAAACCTTCCATAAGCCTCAGGTATTGCCTCACAAATGATAATAAACTTCAAGAATTGATCTGGTGGATCAGGAAAGACTGATAAACTTCTTGTGCATGGAAATCCAGAACCATTTCATCATTAGTAATTTCAGTACTCACTCTATTAATATCTCCTGGAAACGAATAATCAGGCTTAATAGTTGAGAGAAAATTCAATAATCACAATCTAACTAGTCACAAAGCCCAGATACATTCAGCTCCTTAGGAAGTTAAATATATCTTCTCTCTTCAGACTAAAAAGCACATATCAACAAGATACGGAACCCTGACTGAGAGGAGTTTGTTAACAAAATAAAGCAGACATTACAAAGCAGCCAAATTCATTTGCTTTAAACAGTGGTTTTCAGCTGACAGTGTGCTGCCAACTCTTCTAGGTTGCTTTTTTTTTTCTGTATTCCATTGTTTGCATTCCAAGATGCTTGAAAACATTTCTTTTCCTATCGATTTTGTCCTCTTCTGGTTGACAAAAGCAGCATCTTGCTAAATTTTCTCTGCTGCCAACACAGCTGTCTTTTGTTTATTTCTGTGTGCACCAGCAGCAGCATGCAGGGCTCAGAAAATCCATTCAACTGGCAACACTGAACAGCTTGTAGGGAAGGCTTGCAAGTGTCCAGGCTCTGACGGCTCACACCAAACTAAAGGTTTAAGTGATTCTCTGTCAGATTCTGGTTTCCTGTTCTGTTTAGAGATAAGGTTATCACAATAAGGTAGTATTTTAAGAAATCTCTATGACAGATACATGTTCAGGTCCAGTCACCCCCTCATGTCTCCATTTGACTGCTTTTCAGCTGATACAACTGCTATCAACAGAAATAACTTTAGATACAGTGAAATCCAACAAATACATTAAAACTAACCAAAACATATGCAGAAAGTGGCTGGCTTAGCTCTTAAGAGCTGTCAATGCTGCAAAACAAATACTTACCAGGGCTAGCTGGTTTAGTGGCTTGAATTAGGAAAGCAAGGAGGACTAACCTCTTGGGTTTGGTGCTGCCAGTTTTAAAGGTTATGCCTACCTTGGCAGGAAACCTATTGCTTTCTAGGACAACTGCTCAAATGCAATCAGACCTGCTATAAACACATGTTTAGCGAGAATACATAACTTAGCATAGATTGGGAAATTCTGCACTCATTTGAAAGCTCATTTTTCTCCCTCTCCAACCCTTCCTAAATGACATTTTGTCTACCAGGACTTGTTTGCTCCTCAAAAAGGGGCGAAGGACCGTTACTTCTTACTAGGATTTTGTGCAGTGGCACAGGCCCAATTGTAAAAGGGACAGTAATAGAACTAAGCAGGGAAATTTAAATCAGGCTTAACCAGAGCTAAATTGTATATGAATCATCTGCAATCTGCTCTGTTGTGGCTAACATCCCCCCACCTTCTCCCTAAAGCATTTGCTTGATACCTAAGTACTGTAAGAATGGAAATAGACCATGTCTGGTGCTGTGCATTAAGTACCTGCATCCATAAGAACACTAGTAATTTAACCAACAGGGTCTCACACAAAGAGTAGAGCTGCAATCTTAATTTAGACTTTAAGCAGTCCAACTAACTGCCTATGTTCTTTACAGACTGAGGGTATTTGCTGGTTACCTTTTGTCAGGGCCCTTCAGAAACACTCATGTTTCTCAGCCACTTGTTTTGGAAGCACCTTTTTGTTACTTTTTAAAGGACTGCTTGGGAGGGAAGTTTTAAACTCAAACAACTGCTTTAAGCTATCAGCTGAAAATGAGTGTTCCAGTGCAGACAGCCAACTTATCTCCAGAATTCAGAAAGCAAGAGAAGCACTTTTCCCAACATCCAACAAAAAAATGGAAATTTTAGTGCCTTTTCATGACAGGAAGCTAATAGCACTGGAAATGCTTTTAAAATGAGCAGCATCTCATCTGACTTTGAATTCAGATAAGTGTCTATTAAATGCTATTAAAGTCATCACTGTGATTAACACTATTCAACTGCCAACTCTGCTGTAACCACTCTGTGCCCAATTACTCATCTTATGAGAGCTCACCAGCCGTATCGATTCATTAACACACTTCATGGCACTTACTCATGGCAGCAGTTGTGCAGTGACCAGCAACTACATCTACTGGATGCTCCCTCTTAGCTGCTCCTCATGCAGAAGGATGTTTAGAAAAATCCATTTAGTACTATTAGCTTCCAAGACAGTGTTGAGGGGTCACAGTAAGTCACCTTGGATGCTTTTACTGTGATTCCTTTCTGGGCTGTTTGAAGACAGAGTTACCATATCTGAGTTTTGCCTTTTTAATGGGTGTGTTTCTAATTCTTTCAGGCACTGGTATTTCACTCTAAAGAACTGACATTTGTAGCTCTATTTTCCAGCCCACTTCCTTTTTAAAATAGGCATTAATAATAGTTAAATGCATTCCTGTCTCTCACTCCTCCATCACTCAGAGGGTGGATTTTACTTAATCTCCCTCTGTTCTAAAGACTTTCCTGTATTTCCATCCTATTCTCAAAAAGAAAACAAAACCCTAAACCAACCCCTCAACAAATGCAATTTGTAAAATCATAATCCTGTCTATGTCAGCCCCAGAATACTGTCTTAGGTATGTTTCTTTGTTGGAGAGGGTGAGGTAGGGAAGGGAAAGAAAGGGAGAAAGGTAGAAGTATGAATTACCCACAAGCAAAGGAGATACTGGATACCCACTAAGCAGAATGACTAAAGCTAGTTTTTAATTAAGCACAATACAACAATTTAAGCATGCTGTGTTTTAAATATGCCGGATGCTTTAAGAAGCTGGGGGCTAAAATGCAGCAGCACCATTCATTTGGAGTCTAATAAAATATGAAAATACTCTCATTTTTCATTGCACATTTGTATGGAATCCTTCAGCTATTTACTACAGCTTCAGAGAGTTTGGCTAGACTCAAGAATTGGTTTTGTTGCAGGCTATTCAGAAAGACAACAAGGAAACAGGCAAATCATTCCATTTGGCATTAGTTGATTTGACATTGGTGGACAAGTGTTAGTACTTGCAGATGACACCGGGAAGTCCCAGATAGGTGGGAGCACTCTGTCACCAAAATCATGTCTTATTTTTAACCAAGAGAGGGAAGGAAAACAGAACAGCCAACGCCAGATATCCAAGAAGTTTTAAGAGGAAAGGTAAGAAAAGATGATGTAGCAGATTAGGACTGTAAATTCAAAACATAGCACCATTTCATATTTTGGAATATTTAGTTCAACTTCATACCTTCTGCTAGAGCTCCTTCCCTCTCTCCTCACCACCCATACTAGTGGCAGTTCTTGTAACAGCATTATGCGTTACAGCTGGTGGCTTCTAAAAGTGATCTCAAAGTCACAAGTGAAACAAAACCTGGAGGTTGCCTTCCCATCCCAAGGGTTAGACCATCCTGATAACCATTTGCAACAGAATTGAAAAGTGCACTTTCAAACCCATACTTGCATCCTGTGTCACGCTTTCATTACTGGTTCAGCATAAAATTGTAATCTTGCGGCTTCAGTTCAAAAAAAAAAGAGTTTCCATAGGTTTTGATCAGGCTGCCAAGGATAGACAAGACATCGCCAAGACCGATTTCCCCCCCAAACAGTATTTGGAATTCTGTTGTAGATGACACATTAGAACTTATTTATTCCACTGACAGGATACAAACGGCCATTCGTGATCCAGTTACAACTCCTACAGATGTGAGCAGACTTCTTAAAGCTAACAAGAAGTCTCTGAAAAGAAAGGAAATATTTTTAATCCCTACTGAAATCTGAATTCCCAAAGACTGCTTCTATCCCTTACATCTCAAAGAAATGAGGCAACAGGTCATTCAGAATGAAAACCTCTATATAGGGGAACAGCTTCTCAGAACATAGGATTTCTTCCTGAGAGCACAGCTTGAGAATTAAATTTTCTGATGACCACAGACAGCTTTTTAAAGGCCCATTTCACTCAGCTCCCATAAAAAAAACCAACAAACCAATATCAAATTTGAAACAAAAGAAAGATATTCTCACATAACTCTAAGAATTCACTGAAGGTCTTAAGACTTTGTTTCTTCAGTAATGCAAATCTGCCCCAAAAAGGCCAAAATACAAAGATCATTATGAAGAACTTGGCTTGCTCAGGTCCCTCCATGTTTCAGGAAATTTGGCAAATATCAGAAACCAAGCTATACTACAAACTCACCAACTTTGCACACCTCCCTTCATGAATACAACAGCTTGCCCTCACTCAGCAGTGAAATCAAACAATTCTGTGTGATCCTTACCATATTAATAATGAGAACTATTTCCAAGACACCAAGAGGCACTAGTGGTCATCAGAACTTAGCATGACACTGAGTATCTGGGTTAGAAATCAAAGAGCTAGGAGATGGTAAATCCGAAGAGATTACTAAGCAAGTCTAAAGGCTTCCTTAACTGAAGCAGGTTCACTACAAAAATTGATAGCCCCCTAACACCAGGTTGCCATCACCAAAAGCATTCTCCACATATTTTAGGACAGCAAAATGGAGGACAGAAAAACACCTGCAACCCTCTCAGGGCTCCCTGTTGCTGCATAGCAGAACAAGGAAGTCACTATCTGAGTTGCTATGCAATGAGATGGTATCTTATGAGGAGTTTCTACATTAAACTATATGATCGTTCATAGTAATCCAGCAAAGCACTCAAGTCATTTGGGTAGCTGCATTGCCCTACACTAGCTAATGATTCAGAGACACTGTTCTTCCTTTCAGCCATCTCAACTTTTCTACCTAAATTTCCTTCCTAAGCAACAATAATGTTCAACACATTTTAATCAACAGCACTGACATATTGCAATGCCATGTGCTTCTAAATTAGGCACACAATCTTGGGGCCAGATGTAAAGCACTTTTTGTTTAGATACAGGAATTACTAACACATTTACTGTTGAGCCTTCAGATCTTGTCGAGTCCTGCTAGCCAGGCTAGTAAGGCAAGACAAAACACAACCAGAGGCTCCTTCACGTAATGGAAATAACAGTTGCACAACAACATACACATTCATTAGGATTCTTTCATCCTCCCCTTAGCTTTGTATCTCCTTAGAGAGTTACTTAGACCCAAAAAATTCACAGAGTATGGCCAAATTAACCATCTATTAATCAGAAACTGTTACTAAACTGTTTCTAGTTTGTGTTATTACATTTTCTTGTGAAGGTCAAAAGCATATTTGTTTTTAAATGAAAGTCATGATGACTCAGACTTGCTGCTTTATGGTTAACTACAGCTTTTTGCATGGGGTAGGGGGTAAGTCACAGTAAGTATTCTGAAGCTTTTATGGCAAGCCACAAGATTTGGCAACAATGAAAGTTGTTTTTTAAAATCCAGTTCCCACTAAAATAATTCACACAAAAAAAGAAACATTTAAGTGCATTAAACATTAGTATTGAAATAAAAAAGTCACATTTTAAAAACACTATAAACTGGCTCACCAGAATATGATAGAAAGCCAGCAATCCTTGGGTGAAATATTTAAGGCACTTGAGGGTAGTCAGTTTTTAAACCCAGATAATAAAGACACAGCCACTTTAAAATTCTAATTTAAATAAAAACCACAATAAAGTAACACTGCAAAAAATTCCTCCAACTGTAAAGTTCAGTAAATAAACACGCATTTAGAATAAAAATAAAATTCTCATTTGTTATAGTACACAAAAAAATGGCAGAAACAGCATATTTAACTGCTAGAGCACACATACTGTAAAGATCTCTCCCAAATACAACAATAAGGGTCCTTTCTTTTCAGGTTGCCAAACAGCCACTAGAGCATGTTTTTTTAGGGGAAAATAATCCAGTGCAGTTAAATATTGGATTCCAGTTTATAAACCAGAGCATCCCAGGAAGCAGCTGATTTGCATCATTTTGCCTGGGATATTTCTAGTTAGCTCTCTTGCTCTTTTTCTGGAGCATTCAGTCAGTTTTATTTTCTCCTCTCCATACAAACAAAATTAAATGTCTCTGTTTGAATGAAGAGGCCACATCATTCTCATTTCATCTTTGGTACAAAACAAAAGCAACTTACACAGTATAATGGTGTCACCCAGTCTCACACACCAAGCCTGTTCCTGCAGACCACACACAATAACAAGCTTTTCTATCTGTCCTCCCAATCTCCAAACTAACATCACAATTAAATACAACATACAGCATTCTTTTTAAGCACTAATTTTCAATTTTCACTCAGAATTCACAAACGGGTGTTCTCACCCATTAGCTTATACATATTATGGTTTCTTCCCACTTCCAGGGCAGAGGGACATGACCAGCAGCCCTGGGACACATGTTAGAAGTCTGCTCCCAGAGACAAAATAGGTGTACAAATCTCCACATCTGCTCAGTGTTTTTTGAAGGGAGAAGAAAGGAAGGAAAAGACAAATGGGAATTCAGTAAAAGGAGTCTTGCCTTTTTGTTAAATGTTTGTCCATTTGTCATTTCTCTCCTGACATGTTTTACCTATTTTATTAGAGGCTTCTTCAGTGGAAAGCAGTTCCTTATGTGAATTTATTTGAATGTTCGGATTAAGCACATTTTGTCACTGTGTGGCTGCCGCCTCACAGCTGAGGAAGTTAAAGGGTGAGCTCTGAGCGTCATCACCAGCCCCAAGGCTCTTAGGGTCTTTGAGACAGTCTGCCAAGATGTCCTGAGGATCCCTCAAGAAGACCACCAGAACAGTGATGTTATCACTGGATCCATTTTCCTTTGCAGCAGCCACCAGTCTTTCTGCTGCTTTGAGACCCACTCCTTTGGTTTGCATTAAATGATCTAAGACCAAGTCTACAACCTCATATGGCTTGACAGCATCAAAGAATCCATCGCAGGCTAGGAGCAAGTAATCTTCAGAACCAGTCAGCTCAAACGAATCTCCATCTGCATCACCTGAGATGTAGGGTTTCTGACATATGTCACCTATGACAAACAATCAAAACAAAGGCTTTCTTACTTCAAATGTTAACAGTTCCTTCTTCAGGCACCAACTGCTTTTACCATCCTCACTGTAAACCCAATAAGATTATATGGCTGCAAGCTATGTAAGTTACACAGCTGTAAGACAACCTTATGGCAAAGACAGTAAGAGTGATTTACTACTTGGTCAATGCTGAGCAAAATGTCATTTACAGTAAACATAACATACAGTCTCAGGTGGTGAGTTTTAATCAAATTTAAGCTGAAGTCTACTAATTCTGGTGGTTTATCTTACCAATTGCTCTGGAGACAGCCAAGGTACCATTAACCCGCCAGCAGTCCATATAGGTCACACAACCACCCAGAGTCTCAATACGTTCTCTCTCATCCTGAAAAACAGTAGAATATAATTTTTATACTGAAAGCCTACTCATGGCTTACTGACCTTGCTGTTATCCAATCAAGGAGGAAAAAAGACAAATCCCAAAACCAAAAGCTGCTTCAGCTTCTGTATTTATACTATGAATATAGCAAGCACATGTATCAGAATCTAGGGTGGAAAAAAGCAATTAAGATTACCAGAAACAACCCACCTACTTCCCAGCTATACCATGGCTTGTCCACAAAAAAAGCAGAGTTCTTAAGTTTTTGTATCATGATGTTCTTTCCCATATAGATGAGTACCCTTTCCTGCCACTTATTCCCATATGCAATTATGTAAAGCACCAAACACTTCACTTTAGAAGGCCTGATTCCAAAAGGTTTCATCAGAGATTCTAACAACATGTGCATGAGAGGAAAACACCAAGTCAGACTTACTTCTCTTTCCGGTTTGTGAGGTTCCATTAACGTCACAGCTTTTCCTTGCTGTACAAGCATTACCTGCGAGTCCCCTAGCCATGCTATGTGTAGCTTGTTCCCTACAATCAGTGCAGATACACCTGTTGTACCACTCCGCAGCTTCTACGGAAGAACACAGATATATTAGGTGAATATTCAACAAGTTCTACAAGGTTACATGGCAATATTGCAAACCTAGGTTTAATCACACTTAAATGCAGCAGACTAGACCTGCCAATCATAATTTAGGTACCTGAATAAAAGGTACAGGCATTAGACAGACTTGAATTAAACTATTTACATATTCCAACATGCAGCTGGCTAATACTGCCTGTTACATTCTTCCTTCTCTGTTATTAATTCCAAAACTGGTGTAGGAGACTAAGACCTCTATTGTTCAAACCACAGAGAGAATATAAAAATGAAAAAAAAAGGTTCTGAATTTCAGTAGTATAAACATTTCTCTCACACACAGAGGTCTTCCCAATCCCTTTCACATTCTCTATCACTAGCAACTACAGACACCTTGCTCCACAGACATTCCGTTAACCTTGAGTATTTAAATGATGATGTAAACAAATGAGGGCACTATCCTAGATTCCCTAGATTAGTGAAAAATTAGACCTCATGAAGATGCTGGTCCCTCTTTTGTACCTCATTGACAGAAATTAAGGTATTAACAATGAATACTTCCATATTCAGTTACTGCTATAACAAAAGAGTTCTCATTAAACTGTATAATAAAACATCCTCCCATTATGTAGATATGAAGAAAGAATGATCATCATACAACTTGATTCAAAGCTGATCAATATCCTTAACGAACTGAAGAGCCCGATTTAAATCACAGAATATTTTTCATCTTACGACCTCCTGTGACATTAATGGCAGGACAAGAAAGAGGGAGACAGTCACTGAATTACCAGGAAAAGGACAACAGGACATCCAGAAGCTGCCTAATTTAGGCAAAGAGGGAGCAGAGTGTTCTCTCAACTAATTAGTATGTCAGAATCATTTAAACCACTTAACACTTCTTTTCAATCACTCATCTTGAACTCGCAAAAACTGTCATTTTGTTTTTCCTCAAAAAAAAGAAATGTTTTGATCAAAGAAAATCTTTGATGTAGCATAATTTCATAAAAAGGTCAGTGATTCAAAGAAACTGTACTGGCAGATTTTTCTGGATAATACCATGTTGTCCAACAGTTCTCAATGTTGTTTAAACACAATGGAATTAATCTACCCACTCACCTCTCTCTTGGCTTTGAAAAGAAACATTTCATCTGTCTTCTGGAAAGAGCATTTCAAGGCCTCAGCTGGATTCTTAACAATCTCTTCATGTAGTCCAACATTTACATGTAAATGGGTTGCCGAATAATTGGCAGCATCCACTCCACCATGGCCATCAAATACCGCAAAGAAAGCACGATCAGTGTCATCCTTTGGTGGGGAGAGAAAGGAAGAAATATTCACGTTCAAAACCAAACTAGCTCATAGACTGGTACCAGTCAGCAAAGATGCTTTATCCTAGGCCTTCTTTCATACAACTTTGCATGGGTAAGGGCAATTTAAGTCAGTTTACCCATATGCAAAATGGATCAAATGGGTACTTTGCAGGGGACTTTTCCTTGTTTGCTGTCAGTCATTTAATATCCTTGAAAGTAATCTGGAACTGAATCAGCAGACAGCTGGTTACGTAGTTCCACTGCAGCTTCATTAATTGGCACTTGCACAATGGCTGTTCTCCCCCTTCTTTTCTTAATATATGTTACCTCAGTCACAAGAACATTGTAAATCCAGCAACCTAACAGTAGGTGAACTTCTCTTATGACATAAAACCCAAGGTCACAAGACCCTTCTTCACCAGGCCAGTAGTAAGCCGGCAGCAACCCGAGTCAGTAAGTCCTAGCTCAAGACATGATAAAATAACCTGTGGTAACAAATTCTTACCCTTCACAGATTACCCATCACCATGTGTACAGGAACACTGAAAATCTAACAAACTGGCCTCCCCACTTGTGTCCACACTTACTGATAAACCAAAGAGCTGGTTGAACTCTGGGAGCAGAACGTGGCGGTCCTCCATTTTCCGCCGGGTGTTACGGATGGCATGGATAGAAACAAGCAGGAACCGCTTCAGTGGTCTCAGTGGTGGCAACTGCTTCTGCCACTCAAAGCAAACATCCCAGAGCTTGTTAAAGAAGCAACGCTGCAATGACTCTCCATCCAGCACTGACAGCACAAAGACAGACAGTAAGTTGTATGCCCACTTGCCTACATTACCCCATCTTTTGGCTTGTCTATCCTTCAAATGTTAACAGCTCTTTGCTTAGAGCTATATACACACAGTCAGCACTCTGCCTTTACAGGCTCTGCAAGAATTAAAATAGGCTTCTGAGAATAATGGGGATAAAAAGTTGGAACTGAAAACAGTATAACAGCAAAGATAAGAAAAGCTACTTGCTCATTCTCTTTCAAAATAGAGGGTTATCAAGTAGGTGATTACATCACAAAAATCATAACAAAGATACCATATTATATTACATTATATTACGTCAGGCTGGCATATTAGATGTAAATATTATTATGGAAATAAAATTAACAAGATTTAGTGGTAAAAATACATCCTAAAAAAAAAAAAAAAAACAAACAAAAAACCCAAACCAAATAAAAAATAAAACCCAAAACCAACAACAACAAAAAAAGCCCAAAACAACCAAACAGAAAAAACAAGTGGGCAGAAAAGCCTTCAAGATAAAAGACGGCTGCTGTCTTGGACACAAAGGTTGAAAAACATTAGCCTGGCTTTGAGTTAGGTTATGTCCTACTGAACCACTTCCACTGAAATGACAAGGAAGCCTGAGAATGTTTTGCCGAGATCAATAGCTCAACTCATAGCTGAGCTGAGCAGATGAGAATTTTAAGCTGTTGTCTTTATGTTTTTAAAAACACATGGGTGTAGGAGCCAAAAGACAGCAGAACACTTCCACCACTTTCCTGCTCTGTCATTACAGAGCACAACTGTAAACATCCATTGAGCAGAGTGTGAAAAGCTCCAGCCAGACACTCAAATCCTTTCCTGGATAGGTCCCAAAGATCAATTAATCCAAACTTATTGTTCATCAGACTGAATGCTTCAGTTTGGCATTGTGTCTAGCTTTGCAATGCAGTCTCTCAGAATATGTAATAATTTAAAGTTTTGCTATTTGAATAAGTGCTGAATCAACTAACTTCAGAAAGCAGCAAAAAGACCATCTATAGAGCAAAAATAATTTGCTGCTCAGTAATGTGTTTCCTCAAGAACTGCAGTACATGAACTATCTTTTCTGTTCTATTCTGACTTCTGCTAACACTGCTTGCATTAAAGCTTCCTCAGAATTCCTTTTTATAACTCCTGGTTCTCAAACGAGACTTCTTCTCAGCAACATTGGAAGGCCAATGAAATATTTGTGCTGAAAGCCTATATATTTATCAAATGTGGTTATAATCTGATGTTCTTTATTTTAGTATAAAGCCTGAGCAATAACAAATAAAGATATACTACTGGAACACAACATCACAATTCAGTAAGATACAATTCTTTCTAATGCAAAAGAGACAATAAGAAAGATGCTTTTATACCACTTTTGGCATGTCTTACCACATGCCTTATGGCCACTGTGGCAATACAGAGCTTCTAGTCATGGAAGTAGCTTGATCCCTGCAGAAAGCCATGCTCTAGTACTGCTGCCTGCACTTCTTTACTATCTTACAACTGCAGCGATCTAGTCACACAAAACTCTCACAAGCCAGCTGCTTATCTCGGGCAGAGTCCTGCTCCCGGTTAAGTTAGTTGCAGTGAAGCCCGTGCGATTGCTCTCGGACAGGAGAACGTCCCTATATCCCTACGGAACATACTTGCGGGCTGGCTCTGTGAGGAGGTGCCAGGAGGCTCCAGCCTCAGCAGAGCCCGGGCAGGCCTCCGGGCGGTCGCAGCTCCGCCGATGGGCGGCAGAGGGCGCGATCCGCCCCCCGCCCGGTACCGCCCGCCGCTGCCCACATGCCCGTGGAGCCGCGGACCGGTTCCTCCCTGCGCCCGAGGAGGAGGGCCAAAGCACGTTGTTGTTTAGAGCCCAGCCACGCTGATGCGAAGCCAGCTGTTCCCATGCAAAGTGCTGGAAACCTGCTATATCTCTCCAGGCACATGAAGGCTGCAAACATGGAGGCAAGGGATGAAGTAGTCAGGGTGCAACCAGGCTTTATTAAATGTACCCCCTCCTGCTGTTTCAGACTTGTATGTGAATACTGGAATAGGCTTCTGGAAAGCGCCACATCCTTGCCATTACCAGAGGTCTACTTGGAAACACACCCTCTGGGACACATTGAACTGCCTTCAAGTCATCCCAGGGAAATGGAAGGGCGAGCATTTCTTGTTACAGGATAAACTAGTTTGCCCAAGCCATCTCTCCTCCATTTTTATCTTCAACTCTGCCTGCATCCGGCTCCATTTAAATTCTTGGCACCGGGATTGAAGGTTTGGTGAAGTCTAATGTTAAACATTTCAGCATGTAAATGTAATAGGACCATCTGTTACATGAGGCACAAACCCAGTACTCAGTCACCAAGGTCTGTTCTCTCTACAGTTCAGTCAGGAGAGAATGCAAGCATCAGGAAGAAGCCATGCACCAGGTTCTTCATCCCTCAGCATCCCATCTTTATAGGGGAGGGTGGGAAGAGAAGAAATAATCACTAAAGACAGTGACTATTAAGAAACTTGCCAAGAGAAAGATCCACGGTTTCAAGACGTTCAGGTTGTGGAGGGGACACAGATCCCAAAATCTGGTTCCCAAGAAGAAACAAAAGCAAGCTGGACTATATGGATGAATTTAAGGTGCCAGTATGGCTGCACAAGAGGAACATGTAGGAGTAGTTATCTAAGGTCAGTTTACCAAAGAGAAAAGGGCACTTCAAAAATATAAAAGGTTATCAACTTAAGATAGGAACTGAATCAGTTCCATTCAAGTGAAATTACCAATGAGGAAAATAAAAGTTCTGAACTAGTTCAGTTCAGGAAGCCCAGTGGACACAGTCATCAATTCTTTTTGGGAAGAGAAACACTCTTCTCTTTCCAGAAAGCCAACCCCCACAATCTGTCCGGAGCTCCAGACCCCATGTTTGCATCCTGCCCACAAAACTAGCACAGCTACTTTCATCCCACAGATACCCAGCAGGAGCAAATAAGGTTCTGTTCGCTGCTGCTTGCCAGCTAACCAAATATTCTGGGAAACATTTCAAAACATGGAAGTCTTCCAACAGACAGCCTCTGGGAAAACCACAGAAGGAAAGAAAGCATACTTACAGGTGAACCTTTCCTCATCTCCTTCTCCCTCTGTTTCCACATTTTGCTGCTTGAATTCAGCCAAGTCTGTTTGGAGAACTTCATTAACTGCAGCATGGATCAACGATGCTGCAAGAAGTGGTGAAACACCTCTGCTGGTAAGAAAAAGAAGGGAAAGAAAACCATACTGCATTAGTTGAAGTTGAGCTACAACCTCACTGGTTACAGGTGATGACCTCAGAATTACATGCAATCAGTAAATCCAACTTAATTCGTAAACTAGTAGAGGAAACCATATGTTTAATATTTATTCATACAACTCTTTAGTAAGATCTTCAGTTAGACAACTGCCTTCGCAAGCATTCAAAGAGGAATAAGCGTATGAATCATGTTTTCAAACTGTTGCCTCACACTCCAGTCGCAGATGGTACCTCCTTCACTTCAGCTCTTGCATGGGAACTTCTACCCTCTGAACACAAACATTTTGTTTCTACTCACTATACAACGTTTCTTTCTTGCAGTCAACTGTAAACCACAGACAGTACCAGGATCTCTGCGTTATGGTACACACCAATCTCCAAAGAGGTTAATTAAGACTCCAGTTCCCTCCACAAGAAAAGTAACGCTCAGTACTAACCTACAGCCCTTTAACACTCAGTTTCTCCTGACTGGAAGTTCCCCAAAGAAATCACCCAGGATGAAGGTGCAAAAAGCTGGCTCTGCGGAGGAGAATAAGAAAAGACTCCAAGACTTGTGATTCAGCTGAAGCGTCTAGAAGACAGTAATGCTACACAATCTATGCAGCCTCTCCTTTTTATTCAACACTTCATGCAAGCTTCGTGCTTTTGGTGGGTTAACCCTGGCTGGACACCAGGCGCCCACCAAAGACTCTCTGCCACTCTCCTCCTCAACTGGACAGGGGAGAGAAAATGTAACAAAAAGCTCATGTTGAGATAAGACAGAAAGAAATGGTTCACCAGTTACTATCACAGGCAAAACAAACTCAACTTGGGGAAATCAGTGTGATTTATAACCAATCAAATCAGAGTAGGACAATGAGAAATGAAACAGAATCTTAAAACCACCATCCCCTCACAATCCCTCCCTTCTTCCTAGGCTTAACTTCACTCCCCATTTCTCTACCTTCTCCCCACCAGCAGCACAGGGGGACAGGGAATGGGGGTTGTGGTCAGTTCACCACATGTTGTCTCTGCTGCTCCTTCTTCCTCAAGGGGAGGACTCCTCACACTCTTCCCCATGCTCCAGAATGGGGTCTCTCCCATGGGAGACAGTCCCTCGTGGACTTCTCCAGTGTGAGTCCTTCCCACAGGCTACGGTTCTTCACAAACAGCTCCAGTGCGGGTCCCCAACAACTCTTATATTCACTATATTCCCATGGCAGGCACTAAAAATTACAGTACATAACACACATTCCAGATATTTTCTGTGAGCACAATGAAGAATAAGCATGGATGTCCATAAAAAGCATTTTTTCCGTTGTGCATGGAGTGTTTGATACCCACAAAGTATCAAATTATACAGCCAAAGCAAAACACATTAAGGCACCTGCAGCAAGTCAAGGGTAACACATTTAGAGTCCTGCGTAATACTGGTTGGCTACAGACTAAGAAATGGTGGAAGCAACTGGTCTCTGCACATGTTCAGCAGAGATGACTCGTTCTGTGCGTACAGAAGAGTGGGGAGGGGAAGACCATGAGGTTTTAGATCTCGGTGACAAGAAGCTGAAATGCATTTTGCCATTGTGCTTCTGAAAGAGAGGCCTTGTCATCTCCTCACAGCCCCATACGAGTACCTCCTGTGGCAGCAAACAGAAAGCATTGTGTTAGTCAGCAGGCTGCTAACAGAAGCGTGTTTCATGCTATGCATTCTGTGGCCGTGATGGCCTACTTTAATGAGTCATTTCGGTACTTCAAATAGATGGCAACGTGTTTGCAGTCCTTTCAGTGCCGGCTGCAGTCACATCACATCACGGGAAGCCAGAAAGTGGCATTTTCTTTCTTTTAAGGCTAATATGTTCAGGGGAGTCAGTACCTTTCCTACCCAAGTTTAAATTGACAATGCCTGCTTATACTTTGACACCAACAGAAAACCTTTTAAAAGGTCAGGCAAGAAATGCATCTGAAACAGATATGGCAACCCCCCCACAAAATCTTGCTTCCTGTTTTTGTTGGTAGAGGTGGAAAAGAAAGGAATATAGAAATAGAAGCCACACAAACAGTTGTCAGATGTGTAGCTGCTGCTGCTGAAAGTCAAGAGCTTTAGTTAAAGTAGGTTTCAGCTCCAAGAACAGAGACAAAAGTGAAGCAGCTATGCATTTACATGCACAGTGAGAGCCACAGCTGCAGTTATCTTCAGAATTTCTCTGCTATGCTAGAAGAAATATTCAAATCTAGCCTGGGTTTCCAGCTAGGCATGAGAAGAGGGCTTAATGCTTTGATTTTAAACTTCCTCAACTTCTGCTTTCCAGAGCCTAGGCTTGCTGAACTGAGTCCATAAAAAGAAGCTTAAACAAAAGGCAATACACTAAATGCTGTAATTCACAAGTCCTGGGAATAAACCTCTGCTTACAGGATGCCTGTAACAAAAGTTTTTGAGTTATTATGTCACATCCTTCAACTTTTTCCAGTTGCCACCCAGTCCCTAAAAAGGAAATTCAGAGGTTCCTCAGTACCGATAGCTTCATTCAGTTTTCCTTTATGCATTTCCTCCCCCTCCACAGTTTTGCAAACCTGTGCAAAGAAGATGGTTGTTTATTGGGAGTTTACTTGTTATGCAGCCAGCAACAACACTGAGCAGTTGATTCTGACATGCTGACAAAAGATAAAAGCCTAAAAAATGAGTCTACCTCTTCAGTTATATCTCAATTCCAAACAGAACATATTTGTCCATTACTTTATAAACTTCTAATACCAGTACTGCCATATTGCTCAACCTGTTTTTTACTCAAGCTCAGGTAAATGGAGGTCCAAGGCAATGGCATCTTCCATTCAGATGAAAGATGGCTCTGATTTCATCCTCTAAATCAGAGACTTCAAGGGTTAACAAAATAGATAATTAAGAGTAAGAACTGCTGCTTTAGTTGAGAGCTACAAGGTCTCACATGGCTAGAGAGGATCTGGAAGCAGACACAGTACCTATGGCAACCAGCATAAAGGCAGAAGCCCACTGCAGTTACCATAACAGACTTCAAACCTTTTCTGTAAGCAAGAGAAGAATGTCACTTAGTGTTAAAATCTTCCTTTCAAAGCAGCCCAGGACACCCTGCTGACAGGCTGAACAAGCATAATTTAATCTTCCTGAATCGGAAGAAAAACTGGAGCTGTTTCCTAAGTGGAAAAACAACTGTGTTGGGAAGAAGAGGGAAGCTGGTGGGGTGTGTTATGTGGAAAGGATGTTACCTCCTCGTAAGCGTGTCTTAGAAGAAATGTGTCAGCCCCATTTCTATGACACACGCAAGACTAATTGCCTAGCCTCAGCATACACAGGCTAGTAGTAAACAGACTTAGAATTTCTTTGCTACAGGCTATTTCTTTGCTAACAAAAAGGGTGTGTTTTGACCACAATGGAAAAAAAATACTAAAAAAGAATGAATGCATGTTGTAACAGTGCAGATGAGACACTGGCGCTTCACCACCAGGTAAAGTCAGATTGCTAGTGGCTGGAACATATCCCCCAGACACTTCATGGTATCCCCAGGCCACTTCATGGGAAAACACAAGTCTCATTTAAAAACCTGAGTAGAGATAGAACTGTTAAAGAGTAAAGCAATACTTATGCTAAGAAAGAACACACTTAAATTTATATGCCATCCTCCTCCTTGAAAGATTCCAGACTGCTGGACACATCCAGTATTGTTAAAAGGAGCTGTGGAAAGCTCCTTTGGACCTGTGGGCCAAAATAAAGTTACACACAGAAGGAGAAAGCAATTGTGATAATTTGCATACATTAGATTTGGCATGAGGTATAGAACAGAACTTACTTCTCTTGTTGTTTACCTTGTTTCTCTTCTGCAAAACAATTTAGTTCCCAATTTTATTTCACTTTAAAAGACCACCTTGTCACAGCCACAATGTATTTACGTAAGTCAGCTCAATCAAAAGACTTACTGAACACTTATATATCAGCTTTCAGGAGGACACAACAGAATATACACAAGTTCCTTCAGGAAGCAGAAACCCCAGTAAGATCACATTTTATTTGGTTTTATTGGGTCATTAAATCCCCAGTACACTCACAGTGAGTGTTGCAGACAAGTCACCAGTTCAAAGATGCCCTCACCTCTTCTTCCCCTCAAATTTAAGAGGGTATATTGAGAAATCTGTAGTTAACAGCTTTGCAGGCAAGGGAGAAGCACCCAGAGCATCAAAGGTCAGGCCACCACTTCTCATCCAGAGCCTCAACTATGACTGCACTTTTTTCAAAGGCTTGGGAACAGATGACAGCCTTTCTGTTGTGCACTATGCCCACAGCTTACGGCAGCTTTGAGACAGCAGAGTAGGGCAGCAGATGGCAGATTCCAAACAGCTGCTCTTCAGCACTTGGAGCAGAGAGAAGCAAGCTCTGTGTAACCTGGTGGAGAGTGGTACAAAGCCTCTCTAGGACATACCAAACACCCAGTGTTTACACAAAGCATTTTTTGGAAGGAAAATAACTGGCATCTTCCCACCCCAGACGCACAGATATTCTCTCACAGTACTGTCAGGAAATCTGTTTGTAGGAAGAGAAGCACGAGAGATTGCCAACTGTATTGGCCAAGCTGTTGATCACTTCTCACCTTTCAAATTTAAGAGAAAAAAAAAAAGGTTACATGATGTTGTTTCTAGATATTATTAACAAAGTGATGGCAACAAGGCAGCACTGGAATTGCAGGCTATAGCACCACTGTATGATCCTCTTTTCCTTTCAGAGTGTGCATATATATATGTATGCATGCATATGCTGGCAACAGAGAGGTGCTGTATCTGCGAGCAAAAGCTTCTAGAAGTCAGTAGCAGCTGACTTATATCAGAGGGAAGATATATTTGTGCACTTATTTGCTACACAGACTCTGCAACACCAGATCATCACATATAGCACAGCTTTGTCAGTAAAGCAAAGTTTGTCAGAGCAGACTCAGTGTGTTTCCAGCACATTA